GCCGCCGGCGGTGGATCCTATGAAGATGACGAAGAAGAGAAAGAAGCGGAAGCCCGCATCGCAGGTACTGTATCCATTTTTTTCGTAGTCCTTTCTCATGATGCCCTCTGCCCCCATTTGAGGACTGACTTATTAGAAAATGTTATTTCCATCAATCTTGACACTATTTAGGTTTTTGAGCAAACTTTTCCTATCAGGGTGTTCTCAATCCTTTATCCTATGCAATTATGTTCTTCGGTTGCTGTAGGCGAGCGAGCACTCTTCGACGCCGCTGATGAGCTCCTGGGTGTGCACTTCCCGGATTTGGCCTTTGGGGGCGCGCAGTCCAATGGCCAAGTACAGATGACACTCCTCATGGACAATTTTGGACGTCTACACCAACAACAACTTGTGCCCGCCCCAGGTGGAGGATACCAACTGCTTTCAACCCCCAACGGTGCCCAGGTGGCTTGCCCACTCTATCAGCTACACCTGGGTCGGTCTCTGCGTCAGGGCCGGTCGATTGTGATGACTGTAGTCCGTCCTCGTGGAATCAGTGGTCGACCGGTAGCTGAGTTCCTCCCTGGTGAATTGCGCAACAAGGATTACGTCAAGGGCTACATGGCTTCTGAAATCTACAAAAAGGCTGTTAAGGATACTCTTGGCCAAAAAACAACTCCGCGCAAGTACGTATTTTGACACATTTCGGTCTTGTTAGGGAGGGTATTGTAGTAGGGGTTTGATTTTGTGAAAGAAACCACAATTTTGTCTTTGATTAGCCAGTACCTTTATTAACTTCTAGCGTTGCTTTGTTAGTACCCCCTTTATGCTTATCGCCTTATCTGAAACTACCAATTACTATCCGCATGGTTTTTTAGTTCTTGGTATTAGCCCTAGCCGATTGACGAGCGTACCTAAACGTGACCTCTACACTGATTGCATTCTGTACAACTGCCTAAACGTAGCACAGCCGTAAGGCAAACATGAAAAAAAAACGTGTCACGCATTCTTAAAAATTAAAAAATGGCCTATATGGGTGTTATTGTTTGTTCTGCCTAGGCGTCCAGGCCCCGGTCGTCCGCGAAAATCCGATCCGCAGGCTCCTGCTGGCAAGGAACTTCCTACTTCGGCTGCAGCCTCCATGGTTCCTCTGAGTGAGCTTAATCCCAGCGATTTGGGTAGTATCAAGAAGCCACCGAATAATGCTATTGCCACGACTGTTGCCCGGCCTCAAAATGTCAAAAAGAGTGATCGCATCATGTTGGATTCCGGGGATGGTAGCGGTGGTGCAGGTCTTCCTCCTCGACCCAAGAAACGAAAGCCTCCGGGCATGCACAGGTAGGATGGGTTTTCAATAGAAAATGCCTATTTTTTGTCTGAAACATATATTCTCAACTGTTTTCTCTTCGCCTCTAGGAGCCTTCGGGACCTGTGTGCCGAACCGCCATACGGGTTTACCCCCAGTTACCTGACCTCGGGTCTCCGTACTGACGCAACCCTTATCGACTACGATCCCCTCCATTTTATCCGCTGTCACGCCAAAGACAACGATGCTGGTGACAGTGAGACCAAGGTGTGGCGCTGTCTGTTTGAACCAAAT